TAAATCAATCACTTATCTATGAATCGCAATCAGCATTCTCTGCTCATTAATACGCAGTCCCTACTTCGTCTTATTTTCTGCTGTTGCTGTCTGCGCTTGAACAGAATAATATACTGCATCTCTTTACAAAAAATTGGCAAAGACTGCTGCTCCATAATAGAGATGAGCTGGCCTACCTGCAGTCATCTGTCTTCTGCCTGACACCAGTGTTCTATCTCACTCACTGGCCTCGTGTTTCATAAGTGCTCATTTGCAAAATTTTCATCTGGCCACTCAGCACCAATGCGTGCTGCGCCATCTTCATGGCCACGTGAAGACCCATTGGAGAGCTTTTGTAGAAAGGGAATGTTAAGGCATTCAAACATGAGACTACATTCAGTAATTTTTTTTAAATCCTGCTTCTTGACGAAAACAAGAAATAATTTTATTTTCCAGGTAGTGCTTTGAGTCTTATATACCATTTAAAGAAAGAATTCATGAAGCCAGGTTGCTGGCTTCTATAGAGGGTGATTTTTCACCAGCCAGGTCTGTCAAATCCATTTTATTTCTCAAATTGGACAGGCATATCTGTGTGTTCGCTATCAGCCATACGAAAATGGTTTTCTTTTGATTGGTAGCATTCAGTTTTATTTTTGGATGTTCTCTCTTTTTATCAAAGATGAGGAAAAACACCTCGGTGATGTTCAATATTTTCATGAGAGCACATGATATTTACAAAAGACCAGAATAAACCTTAAAGTATTTGATAGACTTTACTTCATGAACCTTAGCACTGTCTTTGAGACAAAAATGGAATCACAGAGGACAAATATGTATTGAGGACCTACTGAATGCCAGCAGCTGGCCTGGGGGATTTATATAGGTCATCTCCACCACTCCTCACTAACCCTTTGAAATGGGTCTTCTTGTCTCCATTTGGGAGATCAGGAACTGAATTAGGTGAGGTAAGTAACTGGCCAGAAGTGACACAGACAATTCAAATCTACCTCTGTGCTGAGAGTAGTTGACATTGAGGAAAAAATCTGGAGAAACAGGCGTTAAATAAATTACAGTATATCCATACAAAAGAGTCAGGGCAAATGCTAGTAGAGACCTACTTTTACTGACATGAAAAGATGTTAACTTGTCAAATAAAAATAGCCGTTTATAAAAATAGAATATACCATATAGCCCTTTGTAAGATATTCATATAATTTTATATGTATATTTGCATTAAAAAAATCACTAGGTGGCGGAATTTGATGTTTCTTTTTGGTATCCTACAAGGAGCTTTGTATTACCCAGATGGTTGGATGGATAGGGAGGCAGAGTGAGAGATATGTAGATACATAGATTACAAAATAAACAGAGATAATCTAAAGATCAGATATTTTAATAAGTTTGTCAGCACATCTGATATTTGAAAAGCTCCATATATTTTTAGACTATCCAATCATCTGTAACATACAGAACTCGCAGAGTTCAGAAAAATATAACTATGCATATTCACATCTGCCTAACATCTACAGATATATTATCTTCATCTGTGTATGTACAGATACAAGCAGAATGAAACAATATAGATGTACAGATAGAGCAAACAGAGCAAAGTGACAATTAGGCACGTGGGGACCGCGTTTAGGGAGTACTTACACTAGTCTTTCACTTTCCAGTATGTTCGAGTGACCTCAAAACTTCAAAGTTTAAAGAACAGATACATATTTTACTAGACAGTTGGAGACTGCCGTTATGATTTCACTCACGTGGAATATAATAAAACGAAGCAAATGAGCAAACAGAAACAAACCTTTGCGTGAGCGGTGTTCACAGATGCAGAATTACAATGGTGAACACCTGAAACTTAGATAACATTAGAAAGCAATGTTACTTCACTAAAAATTTATTTAAATAAGAGAGCAACTATATGTTGTATATTTCAAACACATACACCTGGCAACATGATGATACTATTTTCCAAAGTCACCCTACTCCACTACTGGCTCTCCTCCTTGGCCCTCTAAGACTATGGTGATTTTTGCAAATTCACCCTTTACAGTGCTTATCACAGAATAACTTGATATCATTTGGTTGTTATTTTACCAGAGCAAAGAAATAAATGGAAGTTGTCCCACTTTGTTTCATGAGACCAACACAATTTTGATCGGAGAATACAACCAACCTAGCACCCAAAAATCCATGGACCAATATGAATGGTAAATATAAACACAAATGTATGAAACAAATACTAGCTTATTCAATTCTGGCAGTCTCGCCAAAGAAAATAATAAGCCATTCGTAGGATTCATTTCAAGATGACAAGACTAGTTCAGCATGAGAAAGTCTAGAGACATTAAGAGAAATACCCCATCTGAGTCCCTTGATAGGTTGTAAAGAGACATTTTTCTTGAGCAATGCCTTTTGCAACCTAAGACTAAAGGATACCTATTAGAAACAAAGAGAAATGGGAGAAGGAGCAGACATTGAGGCATTATTACTCAAGGTAGGAATAAGAAAATAATATCCATTACCAGTGCTGTTACTCAGCGCTGTTCTGAAAGTTCTAGCCAATGGAATAAAGGTAAAGGGAGAGACAAATTTATAATTGTTTCTTAATAATTACCTGTCTAATCATCCTAAAGAAGCCACAAGAAAAAACATTAACAATGAAGTTCTACTCAAATTCAATATAGAAATATCAAAGCTTTACACTAGTCATCAGGGCTTGACAAACTTTATCCAGCAGCTACAGAGAGTAACTACAGGCTTTGCTGGCTGTGAGGTCTCTATAACAAGTATTCAAGTGGCTCAGGAACTGAAACAGAACACATGTGACTTTCTTCCAATGAAACTCTGTCTACAAAACAGTGGGCTAGGTTTGACACACAGCTCTAGTTTGCTGACCTCTATACCACACAAAAAAAAAATTTTTGAGAGAAAAGCCACCATTTAAAACAGCAAGAAAATATGGAAAGACCTAGAAATAACTCCCTAAAGGGTAATTTAGCTATATGCATCAAAATCAAATTGTGGATGTTCTTTCAACACAGCAATTACATTCCTGGGAATTTATCCTAAGGATACATTTAGTATACATATAAAGATGTGTATATATGGATATTTATTAGTGCTGTTTCTAATAAGAAAGGACAAACACTGACATAATCCACGTCTTTGAGGAATAGATCATTTTTTAAAACAGGTTACAGAGTATCCTGCTTTAATACACATCATATAGGCTAATTTTTTTTAACATATGGATTATGTATATGAGGTTATGCATTCATACCCGTGCATGGAAAAAACTGGAAATATATATATATATATATATATATATATATCTCCCATTGTTTTATTACCAGTTATTCCCAGTTATTCTCTTCACTTTTTGCATATTACTTTTGATCTTGTATGTTTCCCCAACTGAGGCTGGAAATAACATTTTCATTTTTCAAAGAAGCAAGTGAACAAAAATTCCCCTGTGCTGCTGTTGAACAGTTACCCTCGTGTCCCTGAATTTTAGAGGAGATATAAGCAGTGTTCTCTCAAATAACACACACCGATAGTGATTTTAATTTTTACCGTTAAGAGAAGATATCGACAGAAAGTTCTTTAAATTATTGTAACTGCTTTATGCCCTGGAGATTGAGATCCTTTTGGCTATAGTTAATGTAAGAGGAGCATCTACCTGGCAGATTGTGGTATCTCTTATCCAGGATGGCATGTGCAAGCGTGTATGGACACACATGTGTGCTTACATCTGTCTGCCTAGGAAGAAAAGAAGCCAGAGAAGGGAAACAAGAAATAGGCAGGAACAGTTAGAGAAGGGCCAACCTGAGTTAACATAAATATTATTAAATTCCTCCCTACGAGACCTATTCAAGGTTCTATGGCACAGGAAATTCACCCCTTGGGTTAGGGGAAGGCCCTCGCATTCTTGCAAATTCTCATTTATGACTTGCAGAGACTGCTTGGGTCTCCTAGTGGAAACGATCAATACATCTGATTCTCATCTAGTTGTGAAAGGTAAGCACATTTTTCCTTGTAATTGACGACATGTATATAATTATTTTGTTAATCCTTTCACTTGTTATACTATATATATTTATGTATAAGTTGATACATATTTAATAATTATGTAATTAAAATCTTGCAAAAATGGAAACAGAGAAGAAAAATGATTCATAGAACTTCTCAGAATTTTTTTGTAGGTACCATATCTCACAGTTATCAAAAAGAGAAAAAAAACATATTACTTTTGTCTTCTCTCAACAGTTACCTTATTTGGCTTTGAAATGTTTCCACTTCCCTCCTGAAGTGGATTTCTCCAACAGCTCAGAATAAAAATTAGATCTGACATACACAGAGGATCCTCTAATAAAGGACATTTTCACATTTTGGAGGGACAGAGAGCAGAAGGGAAGGAGAGAAGGAGGGAGGAGAAGGGAGGAGAGGGAGAGAGAGAGGGAGGGAGAGAGGGAGGGAAGGAGAACATGCATCTGTGAATGTGTGCACCAGCTGGTTGCTAGAGGCCATGGAGAAAAGGCAGTTTTTCCAAAGCCAAGCTAGACGCTAACAGGAACAATGTGACAAAGCCAAGGTCATCTGAGTTCTCAAATGTGATGTCAACAGACGATTGGGTGTTAAGTACATTCTGTAAACCATGAAAACCCAGGATACAATGAGCAAGTGATGACGTTTACATGGAACACAATGGACATTTAAGTGTACGGTGTAGTGCAACTTTCACTAACTACTCCTTTGCTCCCGATCTCAATCCAATGCTTTTCATCTTTCAGCAGTAAAATTTACTATCAAACGCAAATGTAGCAACCTACGCTAGGCTTATGATGAGATCTGGGAGACTGGAATCCCACAACTTTCAATCTTCCATTTTAAAAAAAAATTGAAAATGAATTTCATATAGACAAGTGAGCAGCCATGCTTCAAATCCAAAACTATTTTTTTTCCTTGTCAAATATTGCGCTCTTAGAGTGCATCACCACATCCCAGTAAAAACTTACCCTTCAACTTGAGGTCGACATTGTGTCTCAGCCAAGGATAAACTCCATAGCTTGGCATATCTTCAGGAATTGGATTATTGTCTATCCAACCATCACAAGCAAATCGGAAGAAATTATCACAAGGGTTCACAGACAGATTTACTTTACTCAAGATGGCAGCAGCTATTTCAAAGGAAAATCAAAGGATTAATGACACACACTGAACATTGTGTACTGTTCTTTTCCAAATTAAACAACTTTTTCATATCAACCAGTTCTGAAGGCTTGGCTTTTACATTTCCCCTCAAAAGACTTCCTGAGTCAATTTCACCATATTAAATTACTGGATTCTGAAGTTTCGTGGTATTATTGTTACTGGTTTTTACAGGACCACCCCTAACTCTGTGGAGCATGGGACCAGAATACAAAATGAAGCCCATGGCCCATTGTCTCCAAAGATACATGTGATGTTTCCTTTCACCCCTCTCTTGCTCCTATGAGATGGATGGCTTTAGCGTTTCCTCATCAAAGTTTCATTCTGGGATGCGTTGTCACTTGCTTGAAGGAAGAGAACACAAGTTTCAAAGCTTGGACTTAGGAGGCCTTGAACTTTTCGTGTAGACACCGTCTGAATTTAGCCTTGACACCTCCCTTTGAAGAAGCCTCCTGGAGAAGGTAAGGCACCTGGGAAGGACCACATCACTGCCAAGTGCCAGACATGTACATGTGGATATGTTCTAGCACCATCT